GCTGAAAATCGATTAAGACCCAGAAACTGAAATTGAAATTGGGAAGAAGAAAAAGAAGGAAGTGGGATTATTTTAGGGGTTTGAAAAATCTGGTTTGCTTTTTGGTGCTTGGTATTGAATGAAGTTTGATTTGGGTCTATTATGATGGAGAAAGACGACAAAGTGGGGTTGAGACAGAACGAGAGAGAGAGATTGCGAGTGTCTTAACTCTCTCTGAGCGGTTTCCTTCAAATCCGTTTGCTTTTTATCTTTTCCCTCTTGTGACCGTCACAAAATTCACAATATTTTTTTGGACAGATCCGACCACTTGTTTCAACCAAATATGTTCTTAATTTTCCAACTCCTTGTGACTTTTTGACTTTTCAAAGAAAAAGAAGAAGACCAATCTTTTTTTTTTTGGGTCGAAGAAGACCAATCTATTTGATTTATTACAGAAAGTTTTTTAGATTGTACAATCCATGTATCGGTGTGTGTAAGAAAATGCAGATTTATTTAGGCCAATTATTACTTTAAAAATTGGTGTGGAATGGCAAAAAAAAAAACACACAAATTCTTCTTATTAAACATGTCAAACTGTTGAAAACTTAATTTTGAAAAAAAAAAAAATGTTGACAACTAAATAAATTTGTCCTGACCAAAAAAAAAATACTACATAAATTTGTGGGTCTAATACTTCGCATTTTCTTAACAACCAGTGTTATATGTGGTTTGAATTCGAATGATAGTGTAAAACGATATAACACAAATCACTAAACTACATATTTTTATTTGAAAGTTTTAAATCTTTAACTCATAACTCAAAATGTAAATCATTCTTGTTACATTGAATTAAACTAGTGATTTTGAATATTTGTTTAAAAATTCAAAGACCATTAGCTATTTGGTGAAAAACAAAATTATGTGCAAATTTATAGTTAATCTCTTATCTCTCATTAGTTGAATCTGAACTAGCGGATTTATATTTCACCTGAAAACATAAATCATGTAAATGATATAATAAATGAAAAATTGTGGAAAACCATTACTCTCTTATCTACTCTGCTTTAAATGAAGGGTCCTTAATCAAAAACCCAATTGGAGCATATATATCTCCTTTTGACTTCTTTTCCTTAAATTGTTAATCTTATCATGAAATATTTAATATTGTACTCTGGAGAGCTCTTCTTCTTTT